TTATTACTAGCTGAAGTCATCATTTGTCAACTAACTAAAGTCTAAATTACAGGCTGACTTCAGGTCTGGTTTAGATCGTTGTTACTTATAAATTATATATTTTTCTGGTATTAATCTGCTGTTTTTCATAATTGTTGAATGAAAGTAACATAATTATTAATTTATTGTAAAAACATGACCGATAATCTGTGAAACAGATCCGGTTCAGCTTGCTGTTTATCTATTAGTTTCTATGGCGGCTGTGAGCTGTTGCCCTTTTTGGACACCATTTCTGCTCCTCCATGCTGTCACAGACGCTACCTGTGGACGGTATGGGAGGGGCTCAGTCTAGTGATCTATATTCAAGTCTGTGTAAATCACTAATCGTTCCAGCCATGTTCAGCATATAGGTGTGCTTTCAGAAATTCAGTGAGCATCACAGAACTAAATGAGGAACTCAGCTGCGTTGAAATGGAGCACTACGCGTTAAACGTGACGAGGTCTCATTCATACCGTTTTCAAAWCTTAGCACTTCCCTTTGTGGTTAACTACATTTTTTTTATTAAACATAAAATTGTTGTATGTCCTCATTGATCCTCTGTGTAATTATCGCACACCGCGTCACGTCCTTAAACTGCTACTACCTGTTTGGATTAAAGACATAACAGCAGCAGGTTGACTTTAACCTCCCATGTTGTTCAACTTTTCCAGAATGCTTTTTTTCTCAGTTATTATTTAATCAAACTATAAGATTTTTAACTTTCTGATTCAGCATTCCATTAAAGATTTCCTCTTTTTGAGGAAAGATGAGGTTTTCTTAATGCTACTGGATTAACCCCTAAAATCCCAATATCCTGTTTTGAATGTGCTCCTCACCACTGTTTTTGTTTTTAACAGGTATCTTACAGCTGTACGTGTTGGAAATTTTTACATGACCACATATAGTAGGTCTGTGTGTGTGTATCTGAAGAACAGGCAGAGCATTCAGATGAGTTATATATTGTAGTTATTTCTGTGCACTATGTAGGCCAGGAGTAAATAGTTAACTGTGTGACAAGAGAGAGGTCTCAGACACCCCACAGGTGTTTAGTTTGTTGCATCAAACAAAGATAGTGAAAGGAAAAAAAACAACCTCTGAGCCAAACTCTGCCATTAACAGCAAGATTCATGATCACTCAAATGGTTGATAATATTCAGGGAAATATGCAGTAACTAGAGGAAGACAAATATTTGCACAACATGGTACATTTCTAGCTCTGCAGGACAACGTTTCTGCAGAGAAATCTCCTTTTTTTTAAGAGGAACTCCGGCATTTTTTCCCCTCCTCAATCCCCTCTGTGTTTTCCTCGACCCTCCTGCCCCGCTTTACCCGCTGCCCCAGTTCCGGAGCCCCAGCATGACCCAGTTTGGGTCGGTCGGCAGAAAAGCGTAAAGGAGAGAGGCTGGAATGTTTTGAAGGCTGAGACATTCCTCATTGTTCATTCACACAGGCTTATGTAACGCAGACGGATCACGTGACGCAGCTCTGCAGCAGTCGTGGGAAGCCGGAGCATTATCTCCACCTCAGTGGCTTCCTCGCTCTAATCTGATTATGCAAGCCCCTTCCTTACACAACAACACGTAGACAGACAGACAAAATGGACAGAGCAACTGATCAACTAACGGAGAGATAGAGATAGAGAGAAACAATGAAAACCTGGAGAGATTGACTGATTTTAGAACATGGGTTAAATTAAAACTGCACAAAAATATTTAAACGTTATTTGTTACAGTAAACAACAAACTAGCAACACCAATTAGTGTTTCAGCATTATGACAGAGATATGAGAAGGAAAGGTTGATGTATATATGCAGACATAACGGCACACTGACCCACATACTGTACACACTCCTACAGTAAGACTTCCATTCATTTCCCTTCAATTTGATCTAGAAACAGTAAAGCTACAGATGTTCTTTGCTATGCATTCATTAAACAGTAGGGAGCAGAGACAAAACTGCTCCTTCTAMTTGTGAGTTGATGTGTCTGTGAGAGACATTTGTTCCTAACTGACCTGTATGGTTGTGTTTCCTCCTTCCAGCAGCGCTATGGCCAACAGGATGCTTTCTTGGAAGACACGATCACTAGTTGTGTTCATGATTAGGTCGATCACCAGATCAGAAGCTCCTTCTTTGTCCAGATGGCACTGCACCTCTGTAAGGGTCATTTCCCCTCGACTCAGACCACCTGGACCCCCTAAAGCTGCATGGAAGAGACAAGGCAATGGGACAAATCAGGACAGGGGATTTAAAGCACTCAGAAATGTGAGATTAAAGATTCGTAACTCATTCTGTATAACTGGAAACATTGCATTCACAGGTGTAGACACATTTAAATGATGAATATTTACATAAAATGTTGAATATGTGAAGGTAATTTAGAAATAAAAAAGTTAAATAACACGAGAAATGCAAAACGAAATGTTTAATTGTTGAKGCTTCAGCACGTTTATGGTACGCATTACAATAAAAACATTATTATTCTAATAAAACCTTTAATCATATCCGTTCTGCAGTGCAAAGCCACAGATGTTAAAGTCATTGTGCACTAATCCCTGCACATCCGACCTATGGGGCCCCTACTTCAGCCTATATATGGAATTCCTATAACGGACCTCGTTTCTGCAACAGGTGCAGAAGCTGTTTGCTCAGGAAACAGCAGCCCGTCTCCCAGTAACAATACGTTTATCATAAGGAGGAGGGGGTAGGCTTCCTGTGGTCTGGATGTGTGCCAGCATCTTGGGGTGTTTGGTGAGATCCAGTGTTCAATGTGTTGAAGTCATATTTCTCTGCTACTCTGACTTTTTATTACACAACAAACCTGCAACACTGGCTACTGCTATAGAATAAACATGTCCTCACAGACTTATTAACTAATAAAATTGTTTATGCTAAAGCAACAGTTAAACTCTTTTAAAGTGAGATTCTGTAAAAAGTTTCAACTATTATGAACAATAAGCATCTTACCTGCCGTAGATAGCTGTTTGAACAACCTTAGATTGGCGAAAGGAGCCTAATTTTGACCAAATGGCAACATAGTTCAAGTGGACCAAGACCAAAGAATGCTGCTTCCATCTCAAAACAATTTAATCTTGATAAAATTTCATAGTGGTACACGAGAATGACATTTTAAAATAATTAAAATGTTCGCAACAATTTATGCAATTTACTTAAAATCGTATGTTTGTTTGCAGATGCAAATGGTGGCAGCAGCAACTAGCTGCACCTCTCAGGAGAAATAGCAAACTGRTTTGAGATGGTAGAAGTGCAACATTAGCCAAAATGAGTTCATTAATTTAAAAAAATGCAGAATACCATCTTTAACACTTGAAGCAGATTAACTACAGCAGCAAAAGACCACACTTGATGCACTCCTGTCAGCTAAGAACAGAAAATAGTTCAAACAGACTCACCATAACTGGACAACTCATTTATGGATGTGCAGCTGATAAATCTGCAGCAGCACCTTGATGCTATCATGTCTATATGGACCAAAATCTCTGAATGGTTGCAACAACTTGTTGAATCTATGAGATGAATAAATACGGCTGTTTTGATGTCAAAATGTGATCAAACCCAATACTTAGAACGGTGTCATTAATAAAGTGGTTGATGAGTGTGTGCATTCACTTTGTTGTGTTGCATTTCTGTACACTAAAACCAAATGGTTGATGATATTATTATTCCTGGCAACAAAATCTACTTCCTGTTTGTCAGAAGCTCTTGGTTCCTGCTTTTAAACACCTGCTGGTGAAAAGAATTGACAATAAAGGTGTGTTTAATGTTAGAAATGAGCAACTTCAGCCTTACAGTCTCACCTGATTGGTTCCTGCCTGATCCTACCGGACTGAGGGGGCCATTGCCAAATGAYGTCAGGCTCTCCCTCCGCCCACCACTCCGGTGGAAGTTGCCATAGTAACGGCTCACCAGAATTTGTCTCAGCGCCTCACCCTAATCATGGAAAAAAAAGAAAGAAAAGGATGTAACGATGTGACGTCAGCAACGGAGAGAGAAAAAGGAGATTATATAACATCGGCCCATCTATTCTGCATTTTAAACCTTTAAAAATAAACTTTCCAGAAAGCTACAACAATAAACACATACTGTTTTTGACTTTTATTGAGATATAATCAAACTTTTTATTGCAAATATTTAAAAATGTCTCAAATTTGTCAAAAAAGTAAATACTTTGTGTCACAGCAAACAGTTTATTATCTGCCACCCACAACAAAGTGCTGTTAAGACCCCTTCATTATGAGACCCGATTTAGTGAGAGGTCCTGATTTTTACTCAGGCAGACCTGGGGGCAGCCCTCCTACACTGTGACTCATCCAGTCAGGCACGACTTTGTGGTTGGTATGGCAACCACAGCCCCTAGTTACCTCACAAGACCTCCCATGGGACGAAGTGAAAGAAAGGGAGCAGTGATTTTGTGTTTGCAAGTGATTATGTGCAAATTATTGTCAGATGTAGGTGGTCCTTGAAAGACGACAGAGGGATTATACAGTATAAGGTCCAATAGTTATGCTCCACGGTTCACAACTACTTTGTGCAGGTGGTGTAAAAAACATGGTTCCCATTGCTTATTGGCAGGAGATTATTTAATTAATCAGCAGTTTGCATCGTGCATGACAGTTAATCCATGTTGGAAGACTCTTTCTGAAGTCTTTAAGCATGAACTCTTTAAAGACACMATGTTAAAGTGAACTTGTATTTGAAGAATTCAGAATTATACTGTACTTATTACATGGTGGTACCATATAATATTCTGAACAGGATATTTATTGCCCACCACTGAAAGGCAAAGTCAGACGATAATGTTTGTGCAGGTTTTATAGAAACCTGAAGAAAGTAATCACTAGATGTACTGAATGATGATTCACATTTGGAGTCAACCCCACTTTAAGATGGGCTGCTACAGTCGACTGACCGTAAAACACGCAGAAATGGTCAGAACTCAGTCAGTTTTACAGATAATGACCTAATGTTTAGCATGGTGGTAGCCAAGCCAGGTCGCCAGCAAAGGCACCTGCTTAATGTAGCAGCTGTACCCCAGTTTTCTAAAGTGAGGGTGAAAACTTAGGTCTTGCTTCCCCATTTTCTGAGTTAAGACGTTACCACTCCCAGCAATAAGGCTAAAGAATGCAATGCTTATTGATTCTAATTTTACTTTTTCAGTGACAAATTTAAAAAATAACATTGAAAATAATCAAAATGTTCTACACTCCAACCTTAGCTACACTGGCAGTAGCAGCTGCTTTGCTACTCAAGACAGTGTTCAACTGTAGAGTTGAAAAAAAAAAGTCTTTCAACTTCAGTGAAACATTCATAAAGTAATTAGATGTACATCTACAACTAATTAGCCTTTGGAGTCAATATAATTCAAGATGGCCACCATTTCAAGATATAACATGAGATTGTGTATAACGTTGATTTTGAGGTTTGACCAAAACGACTAAGGCCTAAAATCATGTCTCTTCGGTGTTGGAGTTGTTAGTGAAGCTGCCATGCCGCCGTGAGTACCTACCCTCTTCTGGTCCGCCAACAGTTTCTCAGGAAGGTTGTGTTCCAGCTTCTGGGTGTAGTTTAAGCATTGTGACACAAACAGACTGTTAGTGTTCATGCAGTACAGAGAGAGCAGAATCAACACCACATCATGTACACATCAGCTGTTACAAGAGGCCATGCAAAGGTCTGCTGCCATGCTTTTACTGCAAGGTCAAGAAACCAGGGAAACGACAGCTGAGGAGGGTTCAGAGCTGCATATACAGTGTTTCTATTGAGTATAACGTAATAAAATCTTTAGTTGTTTCAAGAATTCTTTAGGAAAACTTACTTTTGTTCTTCAGAACTGTCTCACTTTTGACTTAACATCTACATCATTACAAAAAATGAAGGACACACACACGGGGTTCAAAGGTTTAGCTGTTTAAGTGTAATCAGATGTTTTACATGTGAAAGTAAACACAAAAATTCATCACAGTGGGGGCCAGGCTGAACCAATCCCACTTGTCATAAGGTAAGCAGCAGGGCACACTTCAGATAGATTAACCGTCCATCACAGGGCAAACCCAAAGAAACAAGAGACAAACAATCACCCACACTCACATTTGCTCCTAAGGTCACTTTAGGATCACCCATTACATAAATTGTTTGTAACTGTGGGAGGAAGCCAGGCTGCTGAGAAAGGTCAATGACGAGCAGAAAGAAAACATGCATGCAGAATCTCTGACCTAGGATTACCTCTCGACTACATCCTGTAAAACATTCTTCAATTTGTGCGTGACAGATTTCCTCATAGAGGCAAATTACTGTTAAGACCTGTGGTCCTTGTAACCCTAGTTCCTCCTTCCTGGTTTTTGAGTTATTTATGTATTTTTATATCTATTTATTTACCTCTGTGTCTTTTTGTGTTTAGCAAAATAAATCAAAAGTATAATAAACAAGAGGATAGATTTGAATGAAATTCAGAAATTCATTATTGAACGTACAACTGATAAACTTTTTTGACAATCTGATTTTGAATGGTTAACCCAGCTAATCGTCTTTAGCAAACACAAAAACTGTCTATAACTCAGTTGGTTTTAAAGATACTGAGCTCAAATTTGGTGTGGTAGTAGCTGAGAGTCATCCAAATCACACAATATGAGTACAAACAGATTGATCAAGATATTTTATTAAAACGTTGGCATGCAAGCTAGTGGGCAAATGCATTCCTTCGTGGAATACTAGTTTCACCCTTTTACTGTTTGAGAAAGAAACAAGCTGAGCAGAAACTGAAAAAACACCAGAGCTGTCAGTTAAAGTCAGCGGTGAGTAATTGGAAGATGAGAAGTTCTCAGTTTGAGCCACGTTTAGAGCAACACGAAACACAAAGCCGACAAAATTAATTTACACGGAACAAAAACACAAAAGTGATGTTCACACATTTTCCCACCAAATAAACTCAGATATGTCAGCACTTCTATGCGCAACTTGTGTTTAAAACATTAAAAATAAAGGGGTAAATGAAGCAGGTAAAATAGGTGCTGCTCCACACATACTGTTATGTAAAAGGACACATTAGGAGGGATTGTAGAGAAGAGAGGAAAAGGTGATAGGGTTAGAGTTACATAACCGATCCAAAAAGAAAAAAAATCAGTTCACTAAACCTTTAACACACAGCAGCTTACAGTGACCATCTGTCACAAAAACACACAAGATAAGTGGGGAAAGACAAAAGGGTGGGAAGGTAAAGCTGCAATTAACCCTACTTGACTTTTCTCAAAGTATTTTCTAAATGAGCATAATGATGACAAAACTGAAGAGTTGTGTCTAATAATTCGCTGAAAGGTGTTCCAGATGTTTAGAGGTCAGCTCAGTGATTGGGGACTARTTGTCAGATGTGAAATTGGGCCATTTCAAACGGAGAAATGACAAATTTGGCCACATTTGGTTTGACAATGGATCACGTGTGTGTGGTGACCTAAATTTCCGTCGATGTAGGCCTGGATCAGTTTCAGCACTGAGTTTTAGGCTAGGCTGGTGATTAATGTAATTGCCCTCATCTCTTTGGGAGTGTCTGTCTGTTTGCCAAATATCTCATTAACCCGTGAATATGTTTTAAAGAATCTCTCAGGGATTAATCCTTGAATATAAAACTACAAGAGTCAACCCAGTAAAAAATATATAAATACTAGCAAAGTCAAAAATGGTCAATTTTACAAGTATTGAGATCAAAATTGAAGTGATAGTAGCTGAGAGTCATCCCTAAAGTATGCTCTGTCAACAAGAAATGCAATATATTTATTGARACTTTGGCATGCAAGGCAGTGAGAAAGCTAGTTTCAGTCAATCTCTTTTCTGAATAGGTGGATTTATTTAAAAATGGAACCAAACAATTTAGGATGTTTAGGCAAATCAGAGCATAAAATGTGTATTCATTTTTAAAAACTGTTGTCGTGTTGTTGAATCTGAGCTATTTTATACACGTTTCAAGTTTTTCCCATCAATGAGTCATTGATTTGATTGATTTGCATTTATTTAAAACAAAATAAGACATTCAAAAAGGCACTTGTCTTTGTGCAGGTAGACTGTAAAGAAGATGAAAATTACATTAAAAAATTCCAATCAGATGCAAACTACACTGCACATTTAAAACCTTTAAAATCCAAAAGCAGCTCAAAGCTAGAGGTGTTTTAATGATCAGCATTACAGACTCTGTGACAAACAGTCATGCTAAATCCTTTTCAGCAAAAACAAATTTCTACAGCTCAACAACGCCTAAACATTTTACAGTTGAAGATGTGTTCCCTAACCTTAAAGCTCCAATCTGCTTCTTTAGAATCTATAAAACTCGATATTCTTTCTTTCAGTTTCATTGCAAGGTATTTAATCACTCTTAAGTGTGAGACCTTTCATGGCCAGGGACGCGTTTAAAAACAAACTGTGTGTGGGTGGGGGTGCTTAGCCACAACGAGAAAGGACGAGAAAGAGAAAGTGAGTAGATGTAAAAGAATAAAGGGAAAAACACAGAGCGTGCTTGTGAAGATTCTTTGGAAAGCGTAATATGCAAATGTCCAGGATATTTTAAACCAGCACTACTGTATTCATGTCATACTGAATCTTTGACTGGTTTAGCAGGTTATGTGAATAACTAATGCATTACAACCTCTGCTGATTAGGTTACACACTAATATGAAGCAACAAAAGGTTTGACCTTAATTAAAGTGTATCTTACC